GAGAAAAAATAAGGAAATGGCTATAGATAACACAGAATAACACTACTAGTTGTAAATATAATAAAGGGTAAGGTCACAATTGCTCACCAAACACTACGTCAGTGGATGTGAAGTAAAAAGTAGGAATTTTGTCATCTCCATGCTTCAGTATGTAAATACAGTTTGCTAACTTCTTTTGTGAAAATCTTCATATATGGAACCAGTTCAAGATCTGTCAGACGGAGTATCAGATGCGCAGAGCAAGGAGGCCATGATGTCAGTTCGTAATAGCAGTTATATAGTAGATCATATTGCTATCTCAAGTATTTACAGGTTACAAAGATGTCATAAATGTTTCTCAGGAGTTCTTTGACTGATATGGAAAAGTTATCAACCTGGTATGCTTAGAGAAAAAAGTTATTTTCAGTTAGGGCATTAAGGCTGCCATATCTGAACTGTCAGAATCCAGGACACCACAGCTGACAGTCACCACGCCCCTCAGTGGTTCCACCCAACACACATCTTAGGGCTTTGATGTTATATATTTATGTATATTTATATGCATATTGGTGTACTATATTACATGCTTTATTTTATTATTATTATTCATTATTATAATCAATGTTATGGATAATTGTTGTTTTTATGGGATAAAGGCTGAAATTCTGGACTTGAAAAAATGCAAAGTTTAACACTTGAACCCAGGTCAATGCCTGGAAAAAAAGGTCATATAGCAACCCAAAATATTCATTCATTTGATTTTTTTTTTTTTTTTTTTCTAAAAATAATTTTCATTTTATTCTATTATCATATATTGATAATTAATGTTGATTCTTTTTAGGAAGGTATAAAAATGCCTTATTTGGAGATTGCAACAAATATTCCTAGAGACAGAGTGACTCCTGAGATTGTTTCAACCTTTAGTAAAATTCTTAGTGAAAACATTGGGAAACCAGAACAGGTATGTATTTTATATATTCATTTATATATATATATATATATATATATATAATATATATATATATATATATATATATATATATATATTATATATTATTATTATTATTATTATTATTATTTTATTATATTATTCCATGTTTGCATGCATACATACACATACATACATACATAATACATACATACATATACATATATATATATATATATATACATATATATATATATATATATATATAATATATATACATACATACATATATACACATACATACATACATACATACATACATACAATACATAACATACATACATACATACATATACATACATACATGCATACATAAATAAATGCATGAACACATACATATACCCATGCTCATGCAGCAATACATGCATAATGTTTTATAGATACACACACATGTATATGTTTATTTCCTATAACCATAGGTGTACATTTAACTCTTGGTCTATATATATTCCAAAGCTGTTGGAATGATTCAGTGAATTCAAGTAAGATTTGTACATATTATTATATCTTGTATAAAAATGGCTTTGTACAGTATAGATTTCCTTGTTATTTGTAATTTATTATCTAATGTATTTATATAAGATTTTTATCTTCTCTGCAATTATTTGCTTACTTATTTGTAATTTATTTGATATATTTCTATAAGATTTTTAGCATCCCTTTAATGATTTTAATCATTTTTGTTCCAGTATTGTGTTGTTAGAGTAATTCCTGATCAGCTGATGAGTTTTGGAGGCACATTTGATCCTTGTGGTTCTGCAATTTTGATGAGCCTTGGCAAGTTAGGGGTTGAAGAAAACAAAACGTATGCTTCTAAGATTTATGCAGTTGTGGAGAAATACCTTGGGATTCCTAATGATCGGTAAGGTTATTCATTTTGATACTTTACATTTTAAGGTAAATGAAACACCTCTATGGACATAATTCTTTTTTGTGATTAACTTGTTCAATTTCACATTTAGAAGCCTTTTTATTACATATAATTGTCTGAGTTACCAGGATAGACTGTAGTTCTATTTTTATGATACCATCAACAAAGTTTAAATCAAGAAAAATAAGTCTTAATTACACCTCCTTTTTTCTAGAATGTACATCCAATTCATAGATAAACAGACATCAGAAGTTGGCTTCAAAGGAACAACCTTCCACCAGATATTGGGACGTTAAAAAGTCAGAAGTTCGCAAGATCCTCAAGTGAAATGAAGATATTGCAATATGCTTTACTGTGCACACTTCTGCATCAGCACCATACATTTCACATGCAGGATAATATGAGCAGATATCGTTTATTGCTTGATGTCTTGTGATTCATGGTATCTTTAGATGCTAAGGAATGATACTCATATCATTAATCTAGATAGCTTATTATTCATCCTTGACAACTGTCAGTAGGAATGCAGCTAAAATGTTTGTACTCTTGAGTTTGCAACATAATTGAGACCTGTATTCTGGTAGATGTAGCTTGTTTCCAGATAAAGGACTATCTACTGTTAATTCTCTCTATATAAGGATAATTAGAACAAAGATGAAGAGTTGTTGAACCTTCTTTTTTTATTTTCCCTTTGTGTATGACATATTCAGCAAGAGTGGACGGTTGATGTTGTAATGATATACAAAGAGATACTATATCCAAAATAGGTTTATAATTTTAAGAACAAGGAAGGTGAGATCAATTCACTAAATATATTACTGGTATGAAAGTCTGTTTCTGAGTAAGCTGTTGGATTACCAGCTCACAATACACAGATATTCCAATGTGAGACATGCATTTTTGTATGGAAGAATATACACAAATATATACAAAAAAAGTCAACATCATATATTACCAGACTACAATGCTGACTGTGTGATTCAAACATATTGTACTTTAGAAACATCTACATTCATACTATAACATTGACAAAGTGACTTCATATTGGCATTACAGATCATATATACAATAAAGTCGAACCTAAAAGCTTAGGTATGACAAGTAATAACAGACCTGTGAGGAATAAGTATTACAGGAAGATCTTGTATACAAATAATAAGTCCAGAGTCCTCATTATTCAGATGATAATACTTTAAAATCAAAAGGTTTATTTTAAGTAAAGGGAAGAAAGTTTGTGTGTATGTTCAGCTTAATTGTTAAAACCATGCGAACACAACTAGTGTTAAAAAACTTAATATGAATCATAAAAAAAGATGAGAGCAATTAATGCACTTGCTAAATTGCAAGATCGACAAAAAATGCTGTCAAAGCCTAGACAGCATTTACGAGATTGTTTTGAACGTGCATTGTATATAATATACAAAATTTTGATAATATTTAATAATAAAAAACTTGATAATATACAAAATTTTAGTTGATCAAGAACCAAGGAGCTTGAGCTTCCACAATTACAACATATATATTACATTGAATTTACAATTATAAGATTGAACAAAATCACATTATTTGAGGGAATTTCAATACATCATCTAATTACATTTGAATGTATAATGAAGTTTTTCATATCATAATTATATTGATATCATATATCTTAGTCTATTTTCTCTAATCCTAGGTACTTAGGCCTTTTGTTTCTGTTTTTAGTTTAATGCAAAATAAAGCTTTGTACAAAGATTTGTTTTGTCTCAGTTTCTATAACTTTATTTGGAATTACACTTATGTGAAAATTGAAATACCTGCGAACATTACTGGATCATTGGTGCAGCATATTAGAGAAATAAATATGTATAGTCCTACTAATAATATTTCTCTTACATTTAATTGAATTTCTATCATTTTTGCTTTGACGAAGAAAGAAAATTAATATAAGCTAGTTTAACTATCTTTAAAATTAACAATGTACTTTTCCTTTTTCTGCATAGACTGCTCTGAGCTGTTACTGAAATTACTTGTCAGAGAAGTAACTCCATAGATGAAAAATACCTAACAGTATATCTAGTATTGATGAATATACTTTCCACGGGGAAATATATTTTTTATTACATTTGATCTCATATACTTTTTCATTCTCATTTTACTGAAGAATCATGGAAAAATAATGAACAGGCAGATACTCTTACATGTTCTGCATTATGTCCACATCACACCAACCCCACTGGCAGCTGGCTTTTGCCAGCTTGCACAATGGCCACACCTGCCTTTCGCATTCCTATCTCATGTCATGTTCTGATCCATCCTTATTTATCCTATGTAATGTTCCTCTTTCAGTTTCACACATTTTGCTGTCCTGTCCATACTTTACTACAGCCTTTACATCTGTTTTCCTTCTCCTATCCTCTCTTCCCTGACCTCCCAGTAGAGTCCCACACTTTTTTGTTCTCCTTCCTCTTCCTCAGACACATATATATCCACACTTGATATAATTCCCACTTTGCTTATTCCTACCATAATCCATTTATTCATCCTCTTCACCTTTACCCTTTCCAATATCATCCTGCTACTGTATGACTGTTGACATGTAACACCTAGTCATCCCCCTCTTCACTTATTCCAATTCTATGCCTTCCAATATAGTGCTCTGTGACCTTTAATGTCTATCACATTAATTTTGCTTTTTAACCATTAACCATTACATGATGTCTAAAACATGGAGGTTAGTAATAGCCCAAAAACAATTTTATATGATTTTTGCAGATTAGAACTATACAAAGATGAAGGGGATGCATGACCCTGCATTAAAAATGGAGCTATTAGGACTTTTTTCTGTTAATAAGCTGTGTTACATGTATGTATTTTGAAACTGGATTTTTGGTTTATTGGTAAAGTTTTCTATTTTCTATTAATGATAAACACAGTTTTGTGAGAATACTTTATTATGTACAAAATATATATAAAAATGACTCCTTTACAGAATCTATTTGTACACTGTACCAAGGTAAACTATATGGTACACAATTAAAAGTATATTTAATAGATATTCAACATTCACGGAATATTACAGGCTATTAGAAATGTTAAAATATAAAATTACACCCAAAATACAAGGGATGCTTAAAATCCAGTAAATATAAATGGTAAAATCATCTCACTATTGTATCATGTGTTTATTCCATGCCTCATTAAACCATTTTAAAAAATAATAATAATAAAAAAATAAAAAAAATTAAAAGAGTTCATCAAGAATGGAATTTTGTGAATCTGTTTGAAATGATGTACAAGAACTTGATTTTTTCTCATCCTGCGTCTGATTTTTGGCTGCTTCCTTTTCAAAAGTGTTATTGGTCTGGGATGCACTAGTTCTTGGGCTACTGACATTTTCATATTTAGTCTTTCTCTTTTTGTCACTCGCTGAGGTTGGATACAATTCTGCCTCAATGCTATTGTTGAAAAGATCATCCTGCAAATCAAAGGCTCGTTTTGATGCTGTTGATGTCTTTTCAGTCAATGTATTGCCGTTTCTTCCGTGCTTCTTTGGGGAAATGCTTCTAAGGTTTTCTTCATCAGTGTCCATGCCATCTGGGTCATCTACATCAGTGTCTGAGTTGTAGCATTCGCTATCACTGCTATTTGCTTTACTCGCCTTGGAAGGAGAATCATTTGCTCTATCTTTAGTGACCAGTGCTGTGTCATTTGCCTTTGCTGAAAAAGAAAGAATTTACAGTTTAGAGGTGAAGCAATTCTAGATCTTAGATTCATTATATTTGTTTACAAAAAAAAAAAAGGAACAAGAAAAAAAATGTTTTGTCTGTAAGTACAGTTCTATGCCTTGGTTGTAATCTATAATTACATTATAAAAACTTTAAAACATATTAAATAGATATGATACTGGTCTGCAGAAATCTTAAAAAAGGAGAAGAAAGAAAAAGGAAATACAAGAAAAAGGGAAAAAGGGAAAAGAAAGAAAAAGCAAATGTGAAAAATAGGGGAAAAGGGGAAAAGCCAAAAATAAAGAAAAAAAAGAAAAAAAAAATAGCCATACAATAATGTCTTGCAAAGGGGAAGGGAGGTGTAATAATTTCAATTGCTACAAAATTATTGTGGATCATGTAGACTGCCTCCCTCGAGATTAGTTCACACTCCTTTACTACTGTTCCCTTACCTGCTGCTGATGACTGACTAGTAAGCTGACGCATCCTCAGTTTCTTCATATTGATAATGTTGGCACACTTTCCGTAAACTGCCTTTTCAAAGTCTTCCTTCATCTTCACACTTTTTGCTACTAAGTCTACAGCTTTTTTAACCTCTGAAAATTGAATCACAAGTGTTAATGAATAAATTCTTATGCTTTATTATGTTCATCATATAAATATTTGTATTTCACTTATCTCTCCAGTAAAGTAACAATTACGAGCATTTTTCCTAAAATTTATTTAACTGATCAATCTGAAAAATACACTCATACCATTTTCTTTAACTATATCTGATAATACTACAGGGTTATGCTAACTGACAAGGTGACTGAAAACAAAATGCTATTTGAATATTCTGAAATTTGAGTGCTAATGCAGTATATATTTTTTTATCACTATACCTTCTTCTTTTGCTTGCAAGTCTGATGTCAATTTGTCAATGGTTTTAACATTAGCAGTCAAGTCTCCCATGACACCATTCATGATATTTTCTAAGGCATCATCATACTCCATCTGCAATAAATAAAGTAATAATGTCTGTTAATTTAACAATAACCTTACTTCCCTTAGATTTGAGATTTATTTTATTGTTGATGCTGCACACAATGAGGGTACTAAGTTCTATAATTAGAGCCTTTTGGCAGAATGTCATTCTCAACTTCACCCATGCATGTATGGATGTACTGTCTACTGTGGTTTAGTTTTAATAACTTTTTAAAACATAGATGGACCTAGAAGCATTAAGTCATTAAGAATTCTGCTACTAGGAATCAAAAAAAGAAAAAAAAATGAATGGGTGAATGGGTAAACAAGTGAGATCATGTACGCCTAGGAATCAACTACTTGGTGATTAAGAAGCCGTGAAGCCATCTATGTCTGAAAAAAAAAACAGTCAACGGGAAATGTATCTAGACCATTGGTTAATTAATAACTGGTTAATAACTGTTACTTGTCCTATGGTGAACTTTCTAATCATATACATATATAAATACAGCTATCCTTACAGTAAACATAACCATTACAGTGCAACCAGAATATATTGATATCAATGGATCAATCCCTTGCATATATAAAAAAGGCAAAAAACAAAGTATAACAATCATGACAGCAACAAATACAATAATTATCATAATTAAATCAGTAATAATGATGATGATCTTTACAATTATTTTATTCACTATCATAATGATTTTTTTATCCTTATATGCTCACTTTCCAATCATAACTATAATAATATAACCTTCAATATCACTATAACTGCTAATATCATTATTAATCTCATCATATCATTACTTCCACAATCAATCACAGTCATTACAGAAAAAAAATTACCATTATTACTAAAATTAGTCATAAACAATACATAAAAGTAAAATGAATCCAGAATTTCCCCACCTTTTCCAAGGTAAACTTTCCTCGCCTTCCATAAACTTTCTTCTCAGGAAAGTACTGCTTCCACACCAAGTGATCATCCTGAATCTCAAAGATATCTTCCTTGAGGTCCTTTCCATCAGAATCGCGAACTGATGACAAGTTCTCGACTGCCTGGCATGCAAGGGATAAGTATTCTTGTGGAGTTTTCTCAAGGTTGCGGCACCATCTTTGGACAGTATCACTCTCTGCGGTGATCTGAAATGAGGCAAAATCTGTAGATGAATTATGAATATTCCTACATAAACAAGGAATCTTGTTCCACACCTGTTGTTGCTCCAGAAGGTGGTCATGTATCTTCTGGCAACATTTAGCTCTCTGCCAACTTAATATCAAATAAAGAACTAATCCAGGTTACAAGGATTACTGCTAGATTTTTCTTGTGCTAGAGGTCATTAGAGGTATGGAAGCCATGGCATAATCCTAAATGACATGTCACTGTTATGGCAGCAATCATCACTTGACACTTCTGCCCCCAATTCCTGCCAAGGAAAACAAAGAATCCTCCATGTATTCACGGCAGGAGAGAACATCGGACAGACTTGGCAACGCTGCTCCCACATGGTAGTCATACACTCGCAACTGCCGTGAATACATGGAGGATTCTTTGTCTTCCTAGGCAGGGGTATCGGATGGCGATTTTTAAAATCGTGAAATCGTTTTTCGTTTCAGGCTCTGAGACACTTGCGTGTCCAATAACTTCATTATTTTTGAGCTGCAGTTAAAGTCAATAGAAGATGAGTTCCTTGGAATCACTCGCCCCATTGTTTGCATATATTACTTTTCATCTAAACGAAGGCTGTATGAAACTGAAACTATCCCTGGAACAGGACCTGTACCATAATTCCTATATATTTGGAAACTAGACAGTGAGAGGAAGTCAACGATACCAAACCCATCTGTTATGCGGACCTAATAAAAAAATAGAAAAATAAAACACCAAATCGATACAACTCTGTCCTAACACTCAACAAGGCCTACGTCAACGTGAGTACTGTCTCTAAAACGCCTTTATTGCCTTATTCACCTTCATGGAGTGGGCCGACCCCGCCTGCAGGAGCACCAGGAAAAGTTCCTCTTGAGAAGAACTCGAATACATGTACGACGTCTTCCCATTCTGCACGATTTTCCTCAGACCCATGGTGACCGTCAAGACTTCAACAGGTAACGGAGGGAATCGACTCTTGTCACATGAATTGCTGTCCTTACAAACACAATAAAATGAAAGAGGTTTGACACTGCACTGCCCCCGACCCGTCCGAACGTGTTACCCGGCAACCGATGATAACAGAAGTAGTGTCTCGTATTTATATCTTGAAATTAAACGGAATATTTTTTACGTGTCAAAGAAATTTCATTTCCAATATTGTTATACATATTTTTTCCTTCTCTTTCCTCATTTCAGAATTATCGGGAAGCAAGTGAGTTTCACTCGTTTTTTCATAATATTGTAGCTACACTCAATATATTCCAACACCAATAATACAAATAAGAATAAATCAAAATAATCATAATATCCTCTACGAAAAAAGTCAAATAACACGAAAAATAATTTTATCGTCGCGTTCCCACCAACGAAGCCAGAGGGATGAGAATCGGACGCTGGAGTCAGCGGAAAGTAAACAAACGTGGCCAAAGTTTCGTCCGCTCTTGGAGCTCATGTAAGAAAAGTTTTTTGCGCAATAACTCTTGAATGACAGTGTTATGCAAAGTAGGAGATTTATAAGTAATCATTGATTTCGTTTGTATTTTATTCTTATTCTGGTAAGAGTGTACCCTTTTTGAAATGGCGTTTGAATTGCATCACGTTTCAACTTCCAGTTAGATTTTATTTGTTACTGAAAGACCTTGCCGCAGTTGATGCGCATATTCTGGCTTAATCGTAGTCTAACCGTATTACACATGGTAGCAGGAAAGGCTATAAGTCTGGTATTTTTATTCTATATCCATGCTATTTCATCTTGTTTTAACCAGAATATCTATGATGTAATTCATGCCCTCCCCGCTATCGGGATTAACTTACCAAGATTGTCAATGGAAATGGTCAATAGATCTTAGTAAATTTACAGCGGATGACGGTCAGGATTTAAGAATGGTTACCTTGAAGTAAACCGAGACACTTTTCAGGTATGGTAAAAGGTGCGCAAATCGAAAATAAAGAAGATACGGGATAAGAATGGGTACACAAATATTGTCAAATGCAACTGAGATAGAATAGCCATTTCATTTTAAGTAAAAGGGGTGGTCACACTTGATCATTGCCTTATTTATTTGTTTATTTAAAAAATAATATTCTGTGTTATTGCTTTAAGCACAAATTTCTTCAGAAAGGTTTGAAAAGTTTTTGTAGCTGTTATCACCCAACCTAGCTATGTTTCTTAAGATACAGGGGAAGCATGTTACAACCCATCTAATGGGGCTATCCCCTAACCCCAGCCAACAAAGAATCCACTACCTATGTGCGTCAGGATAGAGCACAGAACAGATCTGGCATTGGGTGCTCAGAGGCGGTGTGATTGCATACATATAAGTATAAATCTAGACTAGCAGCATAATATCCTGTGATATGGTCAGCAAGATATAGCAATCATCATCCATCCTTCAGATTAGTAAATTATCATTCCAAGGGTGTATCTTGTCGTGTTCAGTCATATGCTCTGTCCTGCCATGAGTACATGGAGGATTCTTTGTCTTCCAGAGCAATGGTTGCAGGGAAGCAGTCCCCATGGTGGGTCATAGGAGGCACAGCCCCCTGCATTCAATACTAACTTATTCAGTATATATTAATATTATATATATATATTTTTTTTTTTTTTTTTTTTTTTTTTTTTCAAAAATGTCCTACATATATGGGTAATAGATAGTAAGAGGAATTCATTGATACCGCTAGTGCTGTGATTGGTCATGAGATGATATTCTAAAGAATTACCTTTATATCATTACTATTGCAACCACCTGTAAATGTGTTACTAGGATAATTGATTTATTCACTGTAGAAGCAGAACATTTCATTTTAGAGATCTGGATCCATTTGAATACAAAACCAAGAATGAACAGACACTGATGATATCAGTAACCCAACCAAGCTCTGACTGAACTTTAGGACCTGACTGGCAAAACACTGGTGTAAATTGTGACTCAGATATGATGGATTTTGCCATCCACATCTAGTTCTACAGTAACTAAAATCCATCATAACCAATATTAGCAATTTCACATAAAATACTGGGAAACTGGGAAATGAAAGGTCTACACTGTGACAACATGAATCATGCTTGTACATATACTGTATTTAATGGGCTCATGTCATATCAGACTACTTACTTAGTGATTTCAATTGTATATTAGGGTTTTGAACATTGATATTAAAGAATTACCAGTGCCTCCAAGTATAATTAGGCAAACCTTTTCCCTGCTACTCTATTATTTTGTTTTGCTACTGCAGCAACAATCAGCTGTTACCTGAGAGAATGGACCTTCATGGAATATTGCATGCCAGTACTAATGAGATATACTATAATAAGAATTCAGGATTTTATGTAACTTTGATCAGAATAAGTTTAGGTTTATTAAATGAAAACTTTTCTTTTATGATATCCATGAACATTTGTAGAATAATTATATTAGCATTGAATAGATATATGTATGAATAGATAAAGAGTAAATAAGCAATGCCTTTGCTATTTATGACCAGTTTCTTCATTTTACCTGTATGAATATTTTTTTAGACATTGTTTGATGCTTACAACCAAGATTCATATACTCGCAGTCAGTTGTATATTTTTTTCTTCTTAGACACACCATGATGGCGACGATTATCCGTATAAAAAGACGACATGATGAGGAACCTACAGAAAATATCATCGTTAAAGCCAAGCGCAGTCGAGTAGAGGAGGAAGATGGGGCAGCTGCTTTGTGTGAATCTTCTCCAGAATCCAGTCACACCATCATGACTAGAGTTGGAACTGTGAATTCCAAGGTATATATGTTATATTGCTTATTGCATATACCAAAAAATGGCAAAAATATTACTAAGGATGTACTTTTTTCTACCACATCATAGCTATACTTCTTTTTCATAGAGAAAAGGTACACAAAGGCAAATAAATCTATATTAGGACTCATATGGCCAGTCTGTTCAAACTGTATGAGGCCTGACCCTATGAATATTCAATATATATAGGCATGAATGTACACAGAAAAAAGTGTTGTCTATTCATATGATATACAGTGGTGTAGATAGAGTGGGGGTATGGGGGGGCAGTGGCCCCCCTTTCAAGTAAAGAGTTAGATTTGTCAGAAATTTTCAAACCTAGTCACAAAAATGTGCCTGCAATCTGTTTTCTTTTGATGTGCTTATTCATTTTAGCAGACTTAGATGAATTATCATTCAATTCTCATGGAAATTATAACAAGTTTATTTACACAAGTGCTGTTTCTGATAAGTGCAGCATTGCCACTGCATCACCAGTCATTCTTGTTTTCTTTCTGCATTGAAAGATGGAACTAATCTAATTATTTTGTCAGAAAATCTGTGAATCTCCCCTCCTCCTATCAAATTTCCTATCTATGCCACTGATATATTCACTTACTTCTGTGTATATGGATGTCCATATATATGAATATTCCTTGAGTCAGGCTTCACATAATTTTAACAAACCGGACGATGGAGTATGTGTTTATTTGTCTGTCTATGAATCTTTTTCTCTCTAACCCACTAATGCCAGATGATATCTATTTACACCATGGTTAGCTGGCCCAAATACCCAGTATCATCTTGGCCTCATATTCTCAAGAATGAGAAAAGAGTGTGTGTGTGTGTATGTGTGTGTGTGTGTGTGTGTGTGTGTGTGTGTGTGTGTGTGTGTGTGTGTGTGTGTGTGTGTGTGTGTGTGTGTGTGTGTGTGTGTGTGTGTGTGTGTGTGTGTGTGTGTGTGTGCGTGCGCGTTTTTTTTTTTTTTTTTTTTTTTTTTTTTTTTTTTTTTTTCATGTGTGTGTGTGTGTGTGTGTGTGTGTGTGTGTGTGTGTGTGTGTGTGTGTGTGTGTGTGTGTGTGTGTGTGTGTGTGTGTGTGTGTGTGTGTGTGTGTGTGTGTGTGTGTGTGTGTGTGTGGTAAAGTGTGTGTGTGCGGTCGAGTGTGTGTGTGTGTGTGTGTGTGTGTGTGTGTGTGTGTGTGTGTGTGTGTGTGTGTGTGTGTGTGTGTGTGGTCGAGTGTGCGTGTGTGGTCGAGTGTGTGTGCATATGTGCAAGTGTACTTTTTAGACTAAAATACTTATGAAGTAGTGATGATCTGATCTATATTTACTGTTGGTGTCTTCATTTCAGGAAGATGATGTGCAGCAACATGTTCTGAAAGTGATGAAGGAGCATAAGACGGGATGGCAGTTAAGAGAACAGTACAAAAAGTTGGGAAATGCTCATAGTATAAAGGCTTCTGTCAAGGAGGCTGTTAAGAACAGAGTCAATAGCAAACGGTATAAGGCAAGTATATGAATATTTTTCATTCCCTGGTTGCAGAACCAAGAATATTGAAGGCAGTTTTGAATTACTGTATAGTTTGTTTGCAGTGATCCAAAGGAATTAGACATTCTATTCTTGCAGATAGTAGCAGCTTGTCGAGGAATCGAGGATAAGACAGACCAGAAGGGAAATTGCCAGATTGGGGAAAAGAAGGATGTTGATGAATCAGAAACAGCTGTGGCCATCACAACAGAGGAATATAAACTGTATGATGCTATGCTGCCAGAGATTGATACGGTAAAGTACAAATGTTTTATGCAATGAATATTTACAGTTTTACAGATGTAACTTGCATATCTATTACCCAGTTACAATTTACTATTGTGATACATTATTCTTATATATTTCCAAGGCTAGGCCTTAAAGAGATATTTTCCAAAGAAACTGGAAAGCCTAGATGATGCCACAGAGGCACTCTATCTCCCTAAGTCTTTTCCAAGTTATTCTCATGTCTGACTTGGGTGCAGCTCAGGGCAAAGGATCTTTCACGTCATGTTATGATGCTGTGTGCATTACATTTTATGCTGTTCTTTATAAGGAGCCCTGGGTGATTGCCTGAGGGAGAACAGGATGTATGATGCCATGGTTTATCATTGTTTTATATAAACAGAATTTTAGCACATAAAGCATAAAGCCTGCTATACAAGGAAGATGCCATGCACCAAAACTGGTGCTCTCTTGGTGATGATGTGAACCTGTAAGTAACCTTCACTCTTGTCAATGAGATCAGTGTCATGTCAATTACTCATATTGCCTTATGAGGTGCTCTGGAAATGTGACTGTCTTGACACACAAAAGGAAAGTACTGAGGCTATAGGAGAGGCAGTCGTATATCATCTACAATCTCTTATTTAGTAAACATAATTTTTGTGAAAGTGATTTCATAGATTTTTTATCCCTCAATAAAATCAGATTCCATCTTTTACTCAGACTGGAACATATCTTGTTTATGGAAATGGACTCTAAGGTACATAATCAGGCTACTACAGGTTTGATCTAGCAACTAAAATGCATGTCATGGATCTATGAATGTGCAAAAGCTTTAAAATCATGTTTTGCATGTAAGTCATGTAAGTGATATGAAAAAGTCATAATTTTGTGTGTGTGGTGTGGTGTGGTGAGTGCTATGCACCAGCCACATATGAAAAGGCTTGGAGGCAAGCCCAATCAGTCATACATACTTCCTGGAGCAGAGGCCAATTGAATCCCATTTTCTCATGGAGGCAATGGGTTAAAAACTTTTAAAAAAAATTGCTTTCATTCAGTAACTGTCTAACTCCTTTTCTCTCTTATTCATTTATTCATTTACTTGTTCATTCACTCCTGTCTTTTTATCTTCCTTTTATTCTTTCATTCTCAGCTTCTCTCATTCATTCATTCATACTCCCCCCCTTTCTTTTATTCCCTCATTCACTTTTTCATGCATTTGCTTTCTCTCTCTTTTCTTTTTTGGCAGGAATCATAGGCATCATCTGCTTCCCATTACTGATGTATAAAGTTCCTATAAAGATTTAATAGCTAAAGCTGTTAAAATGTCACTGTAAACCAATCATTTCTTTGTTACTGTTTGTAAAAAAAAATGTCCTAAAAAGTAAGTTGGTCTGAGGAAATACTTTTATTTCTGTCACACAATTCTAACATTGAATTGCCTACTGTTATGTGATTGAGGCTTCCTGTATTTTATGGGGATTCACATTTGTGATGTGATTAAGCATCCTGCATTTTGGGGGGATTCACATTCACTATGTAGGCATGGTTCAACGGCAATTTTGGCAAAATAAGAATGGGAATGACCATTTTTTTTAAGATACAAATTTTGCAATTATCATGTACACACTGAACAAAATGTAGTGAAAGTTGTTTGTATTATAATCATGATAAGTATCCAGTTTAGAATCATAGAATAGGAACTAAAATAAGTGTCATATTTTCCTATGTACACTTGAAGCTCAGAAATTTGCTGTCCTTTTGTAATTCAGCAAAGGAAGAATTTCTGAAGTAGTTTTACAGTATTTAATTTTC